TTGGTGGTTTTTGGAAATAACTCTTTTTATGACTTTGTTTCTATAAAATAGCTGGCTTTTTAAAAAACATATGTACAAAGGCTGAGCTTGATGAAATTCAAAGCATTAACATTTCAAGAAGATTATTCCCAGTAAGATAGGAGAACCCAGAGTGCCATAGAAGTTGCTGCAGAGGGCAAGCTAGTTGCCAGTGGCATTCTAGGCTGAGTTCCAGCCCACTGGAAACTAACTGAGCTGTTTTCATTTGATAAATGAAAGCAGGGAGATATACCACTTTTTCATTTCAGGGATTCTCTGAGCTTTCCCCATCAGTCTCTGGGAGATAAGGATCCTTGGAAAGCTAACCAGACCAGGCCAAAACTGCCATCTCTCATAATGGCTTGCTTACATGCTTTTTCAAGATGTAATTGAAAGCCCAGAATATAATGAAACCATACAAAGTCATGAAAACCAATTTTCTAGAACGAATGAATGAATGCTTCCCACCACTTTCAACTAAATGAATTGATCTCAAATTTATTTCTTTCCCAATGATGTCAAGTGGAAGGATGTGTCAAGTGAAATTCAGAGCCTTTATCTGAGTATATATTTTAGCAGTCAGAGTGACAGTAACTTCAGCTGAAAAGAGCTAGAGATAGAAACAGAAGAATAAGCTAGAGTGGTAAAGTTAGTTTAGTTAAGAGAATAGCCTCTGAAAATTAACTTAAATTGCATCCCTAAGCAAATTTAATTGACCTTTCAAAAACGAACAATACATTTTATTTGCATCCTTGTTTGTAAGCATACACCACAGACTGAGCCTATCTGTATTATTCCAACATTCTATTAAGTCATATTGTGAAAATAAGCAGGGGAATATGTTTTACATTATTTCTTAAGGAATACCCCCCCCCCCCAAAAAAGGGGCAGCAAAGGAGAGAGGGATAGTTAGAGGAACAGAATAAATGACCTACAATAAAATGGGAATAGCTCTCAGAAAGACTGATAATCCGCAAAAGTACAACAATAAATAGGCATATTTATGGGGATCAGAGGTGAACTTGGAACTAAGTAACAGGAGAATAAGGGACATGAATATCAATGCAGAACAGAAGTATTTACATAAGTAAAGGAGAAGCTTTGAAGATTAATTTTCTGGAAAGAATGTGTTCCTTCTCACACCCGCAATTTATGTCCTAGCAATTTTTCTTATTTTTCTTCCTAAGAAATCAAGAAATTGCAAGTCATAGCTGAGGTGAAATGAATTTTACTTATACTAAGCAAAATATCCTATTGCAGATTTTCAGAAGCTCTAATCCAACATTTCCCATTTCATATATTCTATATGTCTAGGACTTTAGCTTTTCTAGTTCTATAGCCAGGATGGCTAATGCCTATACTGAATGGATAACTATTGGAAATGAAGGATGTGAGGTCTGGAAGCTGTATAACATGCTTCAGAAATCTCAGAGCAATTATTACAAAGCTGTAATTAGATTATTACTAATTGTTCTGTTTTTCCACCTATCACAATTAGATGCTGAAGAGCCACAGGTGCAGTTCAGCACAGTCGATGATACACTTGTGGCCAAGTGCATCTCAGCTGGCTGGTACCATATGCCAAAGGTAACCTGGCGTAACCGCAAGGAAGAGGATCTGTCCAGCTACTCCAAAACAGAGATTTTGGAAGAGAAGCAGGATGGGTCGTACAGGGTGGTGTCTACTTTACATTACCCTGTATTGCTCCATGAAATCTACACATGTCACATTGAAGAGGACGACGTGCTCAACAGACCTGTTAGATCCATCCACAGAGTCCCAAGTTAGTGATCTCTTGTTGAAAGCCTCCATTGGGTGTTGAAAGAAAAGCTTTCAGAGCTGGGGTACCATGGCCTTCCAGATGTTGCTGAATTATAAATCTCAGTCATGATGGTGACGGATTCTGGCAATTATATTCAGGAATGTCTACAGTATTACAGACTTCCCATCCTTGGAGTTGTGTGTGCGTGTGAGAGAGAGGAAGATGCGATGAATGTTGGGAATAACAGAGGGTAGATGTACACACATGTGGAACCATGGACCAGCCCAACAATCTATGAAGATTGTTCTCCCATGTGGATTGTAGATTGTTCTCCCAATCTATGTAGATTGTTCTCCCATGAGCTACCAACTGACACATAGTAGACCTAATATGGCTCTCCTGTTTCCTGAAAGCAGTTCAGCCACACACAAAAATGATTATTTCTTTTTGATCAACTCAGCTGATCAACTCTTGCCCTCTGATTACCCATCTTTTCAGGCAAGATGGAGTATGACTCCGATGCTAACCAATAATCTCTGATACTAACAATCACCAATAACAATAATGGTGTCCATGGAGGAAGAAAGTTGCTTGAAACCATATCTATATTATAGTCATTATTAGAATATCTCTGTAAATTGGCAGCAATAACATTCCCTTTTTTCCTTTTTTCTGTCAAATATACAGTAGAACTTCGAAATGTTGACACACTACTATTCTGTATATTCATGAATCCTGGCCATGGGGGCTCAAATTGAGGGTTGTGGTATCTTAAAAGGCCCAGAGCTCTTCTTTTCTGGCTTGTCACACAACAAAGTGTTATTTATACCTAGCTAGAAAACTGGATTCTCATTTTAGTTAATGCTTGTTGACACCTCAGTCTTAAAAATATATATTTAGAAATACATTCCACTGAATTCAGAGAGATTTAATTAGCAGTAAAACTGGCAGCCTTAAAGAACAGGTGATTAGAACTGTGTATGTAAAAAGTGTTTTATTCTTTCTCTCATAGACAGAGTGTGGGGCCCACATATTTTTTTTACACCCATATCTCCATCTTTCTCTACTTTTTGCAAAAAAGAGAAAAAGTCAGTTTCTGCATATCATTCTGTATTGTACTTAATAATTCAGATTGTAGTAGTTAGTTCAAAGATGTGATAGTACTGCTGATACAGCTAGCCTGAGCTGACTGTCATAAACCTCTCTAAGGAAAAACAAAATGGTTCTTGGCAAGTTAGTTAAGTAGCAGTGATTGCTGTTAAGGTGAGTGAGCATTAGGCCACTCTCTGTGGTTAATTAGTGTTAATATTGAAGGTTATGTAAATCCATATCCTGAAGTTTTGGATGAGTATGAAGCTGTGAATTTCCTTACAACAAAGATGGGGAAGCTTTCTTCTCTTCAGGGCCAAATTCATAGAGGACTTATTTGCTAGTGAGCCAATTTGTCAGTTGTAAGTGGGATTATTTATTATTTATCTTTCTGGCACTCTCTTTTTCCTTTAACTTTTCCATTACAGGTCATTGCCCCACTAATGACTTGCAGGGTCTTCTAGAGTCATCCACCACTGTAGCAAAATAACAGTAATATGTGCTTCCACGCTAGTGATCTATAGCATCTCACAGCATTGTCCAATCATTGCTGTGGAAAAATAGTCTTCATTACTGATGAGTTGCCACAGCAATGACACTGGGTGACACTGAAAATACTCTAATCCATAAGTGTGGAAATGGTGAATGATAGGCTTTTTATCACTTCACTGATGGCTGGGTGATGCTAGAAAGACACTGTAAGTCAATAGTGAGGAAGTGGCTGGGCAGGGGGCTCTTCCTCATGACTGCGTTGTTGTGCTTTCCTCCAGTCCATGAAGCACCACAAGAGCATGCTGGGATACTTCTGTGCTGCCCTCATTGAGGAGTGCCATTCTGCCTCAGCAGTGAGGCCAGCAAACCTCTCTCTCCTTACAGGGTTATAAGGGACAACTTAAGGAGAGCAATTGGTGGATTCTTTTGGCTTCACCTGCCTGCAGAAAAAACAATACAGTATTAAGGGAGGAGACAAGTTTTGACAGATGGCTAGAACAGCCAGCAAAACATGGCCCTGAGCTCGCTGATCTGGGTGTGTTGGGAAGCAACTAGCGCTCTCCTGTTTACTGGATGGAACTAACCAACTCATCAGCAGGAATGGGGGGTCTGCATGGGATGGCTGGATGGTGCATTCTGCCCAGTGAAGCAGGAAACTCATAACACTCACCCCCCCCCGGAGTAAAGTTGCCCAGCCAGCCCATCAGGCAATCCAGCAGCTGATCCTGGGGCAGGGGAGGGGTCTTTGCCTGGAAAGCAGGCAACCCCCCAGAAGACTGATGGACATGTTTCCAAAACAAGGAGTTAGACAAGGGGATAGTGATTTATCCGCTCTGCCTCTCCCTCATTTTTCTGAACTGGCAGTAAAAATGGGGACAGGAAGGTCCATGTTTAAAAACAGCATTTCCCATTTGGCTGGCCTGTCCCCCAAATGAATGAAGGGGATTAAATCAACAGGGGCAGCAGAGTAGAGTAAGATATATGTTTAAAAATAGCATTCCCTACTTCTCCTGACAGCCTGAAAAAGAGACAATAGGCAGGGGAGAAAGGCATCAATCGCTGGCCTGAAAAATGGGTGACATGTTCCTGGTTTCTCCTGTCTTCCAAGCGAAAAAGGCCCTGGAAGGCTGTGCTTGCAGCAGCCTCAAGTAGCCAACAGGTGCTGGGCAGATGGCAGTCCCTGGCCACCACCTCCCCAGGCATCCTTGAGGAGATTTTGGAGTTGTTAATTCGGGAACTCTCATTCCAGGAGAAGACCAAAAGCACAACTTTAGCACGAGGATCTCTTAGGCTGCCACTGCAGGGGGCTAGAGCTGAGGTGAAGCCAACCCCATGAGGATGTGCCCTTTAACAATGATTAATGAGGCAGCTTCATGCTGTGATTAGTGGACCATGAGGAAGAGCCCAGAGTCTGATGGACAGGTTGTTCTTGCCAGAGATCTGAAATTATAGCTACTAAAGAGCCTTTGAAATTAAGGTGAGTGGCTGCGTGAAACTAGATCAAAAGTCTTACGATGCTGCAGGTAACACATTCCTGTGATAGAGGCAAAATGTTTTCAGGAAATTTAACTTGAAAAAGTCCATACAAAGCCTAGCATAAACACATCAGAGGTCAGGGGGAGTATTTTGCATTGTTGACAGTCAGAGACTATGAGATCCACCTCAGCCCACCTAAAACTAACACATGCATTAGACTAGGCTTCAAAAGAGTTGGTATCTGACTATCAATAGCAATGATGTTGTTGGGGAACCAGACAGAAAACATTAGCAAATTGGGTTTGACTCTCAACAAATAGTACATATGTATATAAGGATAGGTAGGGGTAATTTTAAAAAATGTGCTGCTTGTTTGTATAACTGAGTTTCTTTTAACCTTTTAACTTTTTCTTTTTTCAGAGAGGAAATATCATAATATGTACAATCACTACTAGAAAATCAACACCTAGTTGATGCAGCTTGTGAAGAGAAGCACTCATTCTTTCATCGCATCAGCTCTGTACAGTGCTGCAACAGCAGAAGGAAGAGGGGGGATAGATAACAGGGCAGTAAAATTCTGCATGTTGAGAGAATATTGCTCTGTTAGATGTTTGAATTAAAAACTGCCAAAATAAGCCACATAAAGGGACAGCCAAGACTGTCTAGATTGTGCTTTCTCATACTTACACTTGGGAAGGGGTGATTAGTTCATCAGTCCCCAACAGATGGTTGCCCAGTCATTCTCAGACATCCAGTGGAGGGGAGCCCACCTACCCTCTAGAGAAATTACTGCATTGTCAAACTGCTCTTGCCCTTATGAAGCTTAAAAAGTAATAAAAATAATAGGAATCATACTTAAACATGGGTCTGTCTGTGCTACAACAATTACTTTCCAGTGATTTTGATAAAATCTCACTGAATTGTATCTTTTGTTTCAGAAGGAGAGAAAAGCGTTTCTGGGGCCGGATTGCTAGCCTGACACCCAACCTTCCTCTTTTCTCATCCAGGCTTAGGAACAGCAGTGGTGGAGTTAATCTATTTTCCTGTAACTAAAATCTCTTATTACATTTTCTATGTTCTGGAAGAACAGAGAACAGGTCCTTGATTTTCTCATGTCATATCCTTTTTCAGATACTTGAAGGGGTCTATCATGTCTCCCTTCCATCTTCTCTTCTGAAGACTAAACATTCCCGATTCCTTCAATTTGTCTTCATAAGGCTTAGTTTCTAGCTGCTATTGCCTTTTCTGAACCTGTTCCAGCTCAGTGGAATCCTTCTTAAAATGTAACACCTAGAACTGGACAGAATACTTGAGGTGGAGTCTGAACATTATAAAATAAAGAACATAAAATAATAAAAATCTAAGGTAAGGAAAGTAACCAGTATATATCCCCAATGATATTACAATAAAATAAACATAACCTAACCCTAACCATACATAAATTACTTCAGCCACAATGCCACAATTCCTAATGACCACCATCAGCCACCAAGGCCCTCCAGAATAGCTCTGCCTTTGCTTTCTGAAACACGTGTGTTGCAGAGGCCCATCTGATGTTAGGAGAGACTAAATTCTGCTGTTAAACCAGTGTTTCTCAACCTTAGCAACTTTAAGATGTGTGGACTTCAACTCCCAGAATTCCCCAGCCAGCATGCAGCATCCATACATCTTAAAATTGCTGAGGTTGAGAAACGCTGCGTTAAACCACCTCCCTCCCCATCTCACAAAAGGGCAGGAGAAGCAAGAACCTCTCCTGAGATGAGCACTGGAGGAAGAGGAGATGGTTCTGAAGACACAGAATACTGTAAGTAGGAGAGGACCCTATTTCTGAATGCTCCCCTGCACCTACACGATGTGCTTCCCACTTCTAGTGAATGAAAACAGCAAGGGGTGGAAAGCTAAACTCTGTGCTCTGTTATAAGTCAGGAGTTCTGGGTGGTGCTAGTTGCCTTGTCACAATTCAGAAATCTGTCTCCACAATCTGTGTAATATGTTGGTGGGTATTCCATAACTACTAATTATGTGGTAACCACTCAAATATACCTGAACTGGTTAGTTGTCGTTATAGGAAAAGGTAATTGTCTTAGTTTGCACACACACAGCCATAATGGAAGGGGGAATCAGTTTCCCATCTCAAGCATGGTAGAGATCTATGTACTGAATTCACCTTGTTGAGGTTAATCACATGGAAAAATCGCAGGGAAAAAATGAAGCTCTATCAATGATCAGGCAGTAAAAGATATGGCAATAACTTCACCAAGGTCATTATTCACCCATTTACTCAGCAATGGTGGTGCGTTTGGGTAAAGCAGCCAGTAGTGTGGGTGATGTATGCTTTTCCTTATGGAACAGAATGTCTGCTTTCTGCCCCCGTGCCAGAGACGGGCAGCACTGTTAGAGCTTCTGCACTGAGTAGGCCACAGATAGCAAAGGGGCCCCAGGCAACCAATAAGGGAGCAGCTGCAAGGTAGACAAAGCTGCTTTGTGGCCACTTCCTCCTTTTCTCTCCTCCTGCTGCCTTCTGGAGTAGTGAAGGATCCACCAGCACAGAAGCTCAGTTCAATGCCAGGGTGTGCCTCTGTTGCCCTCTTGGTCAGTCCATAAATAATTCTTTGAAAGATCATGTTCCTACTCCGCTAAAAGAAGCATTACTAACACCTTTCAGAAGTGGTCTTCATGGGATTCCTAAATATCTACTGACCATTTCCTAATGTCCTTTTTAAAAGTAAGATAGTAATGATGGTTGCATAAGTGGGCAAACTGATGATTTGGAATTATTCCTACTGGGGATTAGGCCTGATTTAGGGAAAGAAAATGCCTTGGGGAAAGACCTAATCCTGGAATTGAATAAATAATAGGTTGGAAGGTACATTAGAGAACATCTAGTCTGACCCCTGTCTAGTGCAAACATTCTGTATTACCCCATCTTGCCAAATTTCTAACTAGCCTTTCAGTGTCGGAAAGTCCACCACCTTCCAAGGAATCTATTCCATTACTGAACTGCTCTAACTATTAGGAAATTCTTCCTGATGTCCAGCCAAAATCAGTTTCATCGTAATTTAAACCTGTTGTCTCTTGTCCTGTCTTCTGGAACAAAACTGAACATTCTTCTCCGTCTTCTAAATAACAACCTTCAGATATCTGAAAATAACTATTATGTCTCCTCGCAGTCGTCTTTTTTGCTCTTTTTGTTCCTGTGTAAACATGCAGGGGTGGTAATTGGCCCAACTTCTGTATTCATTACTTGTTTACTTGCATTTGTTCTTAGGGCTTTACAAGTGGAGGGGGGGATGCAAAATGAGATTTAGGTAGCTTTGCTTTGGGGGATCCTGCCCTCTCCCCATGAGGTGTCCTCTACTGCTTGACTGGTTTTATCAATTTCTATCCCCACATCCCAAGGCACTGTACATATAGTCTCCTCACCCTATTTCATCAGCCCCCAAACAACCTTGTGACTTAGAGATGGCTGTGTTCACAAGAAACACTGAACTTAACTACAACCACATTGTACCCTACAATATTATGCAACCCCAGCAGGGTGTTGTGAAGACTCAGACTGGAATAATTAAATAAATAATTAACTACGGTGAACAAGCTCAACAAACCCAGCCACTGACCAGATCAAAGTCACTGAGATTTTCCATTACTGAACATGGGCTAGAACCTATTCTCCCAGTCCCCATTATTACTGTTGTTGTTATTATGATTTATATTGTCTTTGCTCTAGGAGCTGACAGTGGCATGCTTAGCATTGCCTCCTCTACAACCCTGTGAGGTAGGGTGGACTGACCCAGTATCTCACAGCAAGCTTCCACGGCTCACCAAGGGCTCAAACCTGGCTCTCCTTAGTCCTAACCCAACATCCTAACTCGCTATCGTTATCAGGACAATACGGTGCTGAATTCGGCAATTATCTGTTTTATCTAGAAACAAAAAGGGGGCAAATACAGTTACTAACTTTGCTATTAAAAACGAACCATGTCGAAAGCAAAGCAAAGCAGCAGAACGAGAGTGTGCGTACACGGACACGACTGGAGCAAAACACTAACGCACTTCTGAGCTCTGCTGTGAAAAAGATACGGAATCTGGGCCTCGGGTCAGGAGAAGGGTGTTTTTCTTCCGAACCGAACCCAGCAAATAAAAGAATCAGGCATGGCTGGGGTGGAGAGGGGGCGCAGAGGTTACTGGTGAATGACGAGTTACGCCCCCGCGCCAGAGACAGACGTCGCGGGGCCGAGGGGCGCCGGCAGCAGGTCCCCGAGCGCACGAGGAGGAGGAGGCGGCGGCGGCAGCAGCTCACTTCTCGGTCATTCTTAAGTTCGGCCGACACCTCCTCTCCCTTCCGCCAAGGAAGGCAGGCGGGCAGGCAGCCCTTTACCTGGCAGTTTCCTTCCCTTTCCTTCCTTTCTTCGCACGTGCAATCCGCAGGCTGGATGCGTAACTGCCGAGCCCCGAGATCGGAGCCATCGGGAGCTTCTTGTTTTTTAAAGTTGCGTCCGGGGAGATCGGCATTATCATCCCAAAGTCCGGAGCGACTTGGCCTTGCTTCGCCATCCAGACAAGACGATCCACTAACCACGCCTCGATCCAGCGCGGATGTCCCTCTGAAATGAGCCAGGTGGCAGAGAAGGGCGTGGGAAGCCCCGGGCGCGGCGACCGGCCGGCCGCGGCTGGAAGACAGCGAGGTAGCGAGTAAACAGAGGGCGCCAGGCCCCGGGCTTGCAAAACTTGCCTCGGTCGATCTTCTCTCGCACGCTCTTCCATTTCGGCGGACATGAGCGGCTGGGCAGGACTGGCCGGGCTCCTTTTGGCTGTGGCCGGAGCTCAGAAGCAGCTGCTGCAGCCGCGGAGCAGCCTCCGTCCTGCCGCCGCAGAACACGCCGCTCAGTTCGACCACATCTACGCGGGGACGGTCAACCGAGGCGCGGAGCGGCTCTACTCTTTCAACTACACCAGTAAGCCGGGCCAGGTAAGGCTGAACTCGCCTGGTCTTCCGCGGCACGCGGCCGCTGGGCGGGCGAGCGGGCTCGGGCAGGTGCTCCAGCCCTGCGCCCTGGCCAAGCGCGCGGGCTGGAGCCCTCGAACGCGGTCCAGCTCGGGGGGTGGGCTTGCGGGAGAGGGAGGGCTGGAGAGGGTCGGCTCGCAGGCTCACGTGGCGAGGCAGGAGGAGACCTCCGAATGGCCACTGCTGACGACCAGCGACCGAGCGAGAAGGCCTGCTGCAGGGCTGAGAGGATGGGGAAGGTAGACGAGAGACGAGGCCTAGCGATTCTGAATTGAAAAAGCAATCCGGTTATTCATTCATTATCGTTGTAAAAGCCCTCCTCTGTTTTGGCGGTTTCCTAGGAGCTGGCTATTTTTCTAAACTTGTTTTTTTTGGTCGATTGTTTCTGCAAATAAAACTCCCATTTAAACAAACTTCAGAAACACCTGTCCCTTCTGAGTCATGCCAAATGCTTCTATTGCTTCCTTGAGATAATGTTAGAGTGCATGTTATCATGGAATTACGTAACAGTAAACCCCTCATTGGTAATTAGAGGTTGTTATTCCATCCATCCATCACACTGTTTTCTTTTGGGATAAGCAGTGTTATTCAAAGTGCAGGAAAAGAAAGGTGCTAATAAGAGATTAAATTCAGGAGATAAGGGAAAAGAAATTTGAACTAATTGAGTTTACACCAATTGCCAGTCACTCTACTTCTGGGTAGCTTTCTGTCCTCCTCATCAACTGTCTTTGCTTCCATTATAGCTATAATGACTTCATGCTTTTTATATAATGACTTCATTCTTTTTCCTCTCTAAACTTCTAACTGTTCTCTTTTTGAAGCTCTTATCAACTCTGTCCAACTGGGGTGCTCAGTCTTCCTCCTGAGTACCATTCACTTTCCTTTCTTATATTAGTTTTGCAGTTTGATTCTCATTCATTCTCTCTACGTGACCAAACCACCTCAATGTATTTCTGTCACTTGGGCAGTGTTGGGCTTCAGGGTTTACAACCAGTATGCACCAGTATATATACACCATATACACCAGTATACTTCTTTCACATCTATTGCTTACTTTTCCATTCAGTCACATTCATTCATCACCCATTCATTCTTGACTCTTCCTGTTTTACAATATACCCTTAAATAACCCATTCCCATTGCATTCAGTGTAAACAGGTAGTCCTCGACTTACGAGCATTCGATCAGTGACCATTCAAAGTTACAGCAGTGCTGAAAAAGGAGACTTAGAACCAGTCCTCAAAGTTGCGGCCATCCCAACACCCCCATGGTCATGTGATCGTGATCTGGGTGCTTGGCAACCAATTCGCACTTATCATCAGTTGCCAAGCGCCCTGCAATCACATGATTTCCATTTGCAACTTTTCATGCAGGCTTCCTCAGAAAGTCAAAGGGGAAGCTGGCAGGGAAGATCGCAAGTCCCCCCACCTGTCCCCCCCCCCCCAGCCACTCTATGCTCATGCCATACTAGCCACTTGCACACTTCCATGCACCTTCCCTGACTTGTGCCACACCCCCACGCACCCTCCCCCACCCCCCTGCCCACCGCCTAGCTCTCTTCCCCACCAGCAGCCACTTACCTGCCTATGGGCCTGGGTCTTGCAACTTCCTGCTGGCTCACCCACTGACTTTGGTTGTGGGAAGCTAGCAGGAAGTTGCCTTGCCTAACGACCATAGGAATCAGTTAACAATGGCAGCTGGGACTGCAGGGATTGCTGTCACTAAGCGAAGCAGTCACGCTTTATGGCTATATCACTTAGCGATAGAAATTCCAGTCCCAATTGCCATCATAAGTTGAGGACTACCTGCACTTTTATTTCTCCTGATATACCCAACTCTCACTTCTATATAACAAAAAGGGCAAAGCATACAATGTGTTTCCTTATTTTGATACGCATTCATTCTTTGCAACAATTTCCATATTACCCACTTCCTTTTTATCAGCATTTGTAAAATGTCTTCATTGATTTTCTCATAATGTGACTGAGGGAGATAAACTCATCTACTTGTTCTTGTTTCTGCCATGAATGTACAACTTGTCACTATTCAACTGGATTCTGCCTTCCTATAATCAAATCCACTATTCCATGTTTTGCACCCTAAGTTGATAGAGAACAGCTTTGGCCGCCTTCTGTGTGACATTGCTCAGTACATAATCAGTTCCCCTCAATCTCTCCTTGTAAGATTTACTTTCAAGTTTCCTGGTCATTTGTATTTCCCTTTTCTGGACCCAGTCCAGTTTCTCTGAATCCTTCTAAAGGTATGATGTCCAGATTGGATGCTGTTCCCCAAATACTGTGGAGAGTAAACTATTGCTTCCTGTGATGTAGAACTATACTTCCATTGATGCAGTCTAAATTTGCATCTGCATTTTTTTTCAGCTGCATTATACACGATTTATGGCCAACTGCAGTTCTGTGTGTAAAGCAGGCTGGTTGCTATCAAGAGACAAAGCTTTCAGACTTAGAGCCAAATCCTGTTTACCAATAAATAGCAATACAAAAACTGATCTCTCTCCCTATGGAAGAAGGCAGGTATATATGTAGATGATAGATAGATAGATAGATAGATAGA